TAAGCGAATTTAAGGTTTTTTAAGGGTACCAAAAAATCAAATCGTACAAAATTCGTATATAAAATAAAATAAAACTGTAAACTTTAGTCGATTGTAACTCAACTTAGGTTAGGGATTTATGCATTAAACCTTCTTAACAACCCAGTTAACATATAAATAATGGTAAATAAAATATATTTATGAACTTGTACCTTTTTGTTACCCACGAAAGTAATTTATAATTTAAGAGTTTAATTATAAGCGAAACGGGGTTGCTCAAACGCCCCGCATTTTTACCTCATCGGGTATTCAGTTTCAATCAGGTGTGTAATTAGGTAATTAGCTAAATATAACGTGACTGCCATGGCGGCCGTCCTTTTACCCAACTCAGACCGCAACTCCCCCGCAGCTGTCAAAAACAAATCACTTTCAACGCTCTCACGGTCAAGTTCGCAATGAAAAAACATAAAGCAGAACACGTGCAGACAGGCGGCCATTCCCAAGTTCACAGGTGACCAACAGTTGCAGACCGGGGGAAACTGACATTTAAGTGCATTGACAGTCGTTTTGGGGCAAAAATCTAGTTGGGAGTGGGAGACCAAGGCCCTGAATAAAAATCTGATTTACCAAATTGTACGTGCTGCCAAGGGATTCGCATTGAAAGTGTCTTAGTGTGCAATCCAAAATTCAATTGACTGCCTGTAGGCCTTATACTTCATTCGTCGGGAAATAATGGACTGAACAATAAGAGGATACAGCAGGACCTAAACTAAGCTAAAAAGCCTCTGACACTGAATTAATTTCCAATTCAAGAGCCCAATTATTAAGGCAACCAGCTTTTAAAGGCGATTATGTATTACCAGCTCGCTTAATAACTACGCATGCAAGTGTGGAGTAAATTCATTAGCATTGGCCAGTAAGCCTATTAATTAATAAGTCCCAAGACCAGTCGGATCGTTAGCAGTTCAACAGTCGGCTGAATTGAACCTGCATAGGTATGAACAGGCTTAGTTGAAAGCTTATTTAAGCACATTTGGTGCTGCACATCTCCTAAACTGAATAGCACATAACCCATTAATTATACAGACAATTATACTACATCTTTTTAAAAAGATTTATAAGTAATTTTATAGTATTTTTTATAGTATAAAATCAATTATCGGTGGCTATTTAATGTTTGCTTAATATTCATTTTTGTGTTTTTTTTAGGTGTTTACTATCAAAATGCTTAAAAATGTAGCTTGTCAGTTTTACAAGTAACAATAAAAAAAAGACCTAATTTTTAAACTGAAGACATTATTCAACTGCATTTAATAACAACTTAAATACCCTAGACCCATGTATTTTCGACTGCATATGACGTATACGCCACCGAGGCCACTGGCGATAATCAGGAACTGCAAAAAGGCAGCTGCATCGAATTTCTGACCAATTTTAGGAAAATGCTGTTGCTTATGGAGAATCGCGAAGTAGCAACAGCTGAAAACGTTCCCACCGATTGGTCGAAAAGTCCAAAGTTCAAAACGAGAAACTGTTGCATACATTCGTGCATACATCAACCTCTTGCGAAACGGCGAACTGCCAGGTAACAATGGGGCATTTTCCATGGAGTTCCCCCCAGTCATGGTCGCATTCATTTTCGGTGCTATTGCTACTGTTGAATTGTTAACGAATGAGTCAGCGTGGGCCAACCCGAGCTGTATATATTCCCGACTAATGGGGAAATGTTGCAAACGGAAAATAATGAAGGCGAGAGTAATAACCTTTGGGGGTAATTCATTTGACCCGGTGTTCATGGAGCTCGTTGAATCCGTGTAAGATTAATTACAAAGCCTTTGGCTGAAGCAACTGCATGGCAGAATATCCTCCAACCCTTTTCTGGCTTAAAACCTTTATATTTGCCAACAAATAGCAGCGGGATTTTCATAAAGAACTCAATTAAAATGTGCACATATTTACACCGTAATTTGTTTAAGCTCAGCTGACTTACAAAAAGTGTAATTGACAGCAAGATGATAAGACGGTCGGGTAATTAATTTGCACAATCAAATTAAATTAAGACCTTTTCCAATCCCAGCTTAATTAATTTATCACCATGTCTATCACATTCGTTTTCCTGAGTGACAAATTAATGCTTAAATGAAACTCTTATTATTTAATTTGGTTGCCGACTAAAGTGCGACCAATTAACTTTCATCCATGGCTGACTGATTCGTTGGGAAAATGTCATTGAACTGGTCTGAAAATGTTCAACCTTTTGTCTAGCTATTTCCATAAGAATTTCCATTCCAGAAAGTTTTACCTTGAAAGTTTCAGCTACATCTGCCTGTTGCTTTTTTCTCTTCTTTTGAAAGTTTATTTTTTTTTGTCCTAAGCGCCTTCAGTTGGGGATTTACTGCAAATGTCAGCTTGAAGTTTTTCAGCTGCTAAACTTGTTGTGACCTTGTCATCCAGAATGCATTCCCCAAAAATTTAAGATTAATTTTCGGAAGCACAAAAGAGATTATTAGAGTGCAAATTCAATAGAGGTTTGCCCTAATTTGGAACCCTAAACCCACATTCATGCTAATAAATCTGGGGACTTGGTATGACTTCCACAATTCAAGGAATTTGGAATGTTAGTCAACTCCTCTGGTTTCCTGGAAAACTCAAGCTTTGATTTGCAGATGTCTGACACTTGACGCATTTTAAATTCGCTGCCGTACATTTCAATTGCGTTGGAATTCTATGGGGGAAAACGTCGGGCGTAATCCACCCGATAATGGAGTGCTGGTAACTCGAATTAATTTTATTTATTAATGTCTCCTGGCGCCCAGAAAGAATCAAGTAAACAGAAGAGGAAAAATAACAACGATGGGGGAATGATAATAATTTAAACATGCTATGTAAATTTGTTGTGTGGCCGGGGCTTGCAAATAAAGCTCAACCAGTGGCAGATATAAGAGTTCGGCAGCACGTGATGGTATTACCAAAGGATCTGCCCCAATACAAACAGCACTCGAACAAATACACACACACAAATATAAATCAATGGTGGCTTCTGGCAAAGCACTTGTGTGCAGTAAGTTGAAATTTATTTGAAAGAACAGAAAGGAAAAGCTACTTTTGTACTTCCACCTGGCTCACCTTTCACCTGTGCCACAAAATCTCTTTCTAATTCCGCACAAATTAGGCACAAGAGAACAGAAATTGACCTGAAATCAAATACAAGTCAACATAAACTCAATTGCGAACATTTTTCGGCTCAAGGTCTTTTAGTTGCTAGGCAGTTATCCTACCCTGTATAAGCTGAATTACTGGGGCTTCTCAAGTTTTCAACTGCGGTTAAAAGCATAGGAAATTGTACTTTTGTGCTTTTAAAGTATTTTAAATCAGGGCAATCAAATTGCATACCCTTTCTGATTGTGCTTTTCGGAAGTTTATGCTTGAAGAATTTGAGTAACATTCATGTAACATGCATATTTAATGCCAGATATTTTGGCGTCGACAACTGCTGTAAAAACATTCCACTCATTTCTTTTGACAAATATGTTTTCAGCTTCGTAACTGAAAATAATCAAATTAAAAACGATACCCACGTCTCTGCGATTCAATACCATTTCTTTGGCTAGTCATTTAAATTAATACATTCCTGTTATTATAACGCATACCTTTGAGTTTTTTTAGGAAGACACACACATTGCTCATTTATTTTATACCTTTATATTTTTAAACAAAAATGCCAATGTTTTTTTAGAAGCTTTAATGGTAAGTCCAATTTCAATAAAAACTCAACTTAGCACTTACTTTTGTTGTCTCTTTTTATCTTTTAAATAACAACTAAGCATCAGTTTTGTTCAAACTTTCAGGGGGAGGGGTCATTCTTGAGAAGTGTGCTGTGAATGTTTACTGATTGCCAAGTAGTTGCTTGAATGTAAATATTTGAGAGGCGTCTGTTTGTAGTGGCGGGGCAGCATTACGTATACGCCATGCAGCACGCGCAACTCTAAGCTCATTTACATCAGCGTAGCGTTTTCACGGACATCGAACCGATAACATTATGTACATCCATTGGCGTATACTGCATGGATGATTACTCGCATTTGATTATCGATGGTGTACAGGACCCAGGAGACAGCGACCCCATCTTGCCATCCAATTTAAGTGGCAACGTACAGGTGAAATAGTTGCTGTACAACCGATTGAAGCCAATGGTAACATGAATGAAAGTATTTTGCAGTCACGAAAACTTTACTATGTCTTCATTTCTATCTTACTATGAATTCAGATAGATTCAGTTTGGGCACTTGGATACCAAAAATACCAATAGATGGAATACATCACTTTTGAACTTGTAACGCTTTTGTTGTCAATTTAATGCGCAATTAGGGGGGAGAGAAGCCAATGTTGACAAACAGGGAGCTTGGGTGCACTGCGAGATATCTTATAATGAAAGTACTTTACTCAGATTAAATTTTGAAACAAGTTTTCATAATTGTTTTGTGTGGTGAAAATTTGCAGTACCTATTATTAGAATCATCCAAAGTAAATTAAATAAATGCAATTTATAATACATATACAGTTTTCTTTGTCGATAAGCCAATATTAACTTTCTCAAATGTTTTTAAATTTTGAAATAAATCAAGAGACAGTTCATAAAATTTGTAAATAACTTCTGAAGGATACAAGTGTTTCCGAAAAATTCAAATGAGTAAATGTGTAGTGTGTGTATGTAAACATATAGTTTAATCCAACATTTAATCTCACTTTTTTTTTGGAAATGATAATGGCCAATGTAAAAGGTCAGCAAACACACTTTTGGAAACATATAAGAACGTTTAGTTATTGAACTCCTAAATTCTGCTTCTCCATGTGTACTCTATGGCAACTCAAGCTGAATATAAAGCATTCGCTTGTTCAAGTTTTCCCCATCGACTGATGCTGTCTGCACTCAAAGCCATCACAATCATTGCATTAAGTTAGCAGAGAGACCGGGGAGAACGATTGTCAATGCTTTTAACCAAATGAACTTGTGTCATATATAAATTTGATTGATTCACAACATGTGTGGACTTTTAATTCAAAGTTCAGACTTTAATGTGGTGCCTTCAAGAGAGATCCACGTTGCAGTGCTGACACCGCCCATTGACGATGGTGTTTCCGCCTCTGCGGTAAATCGTCCCACCTCCACCTCCTCGTCCATCGCTTCCCCGCGAGATTACCACATTGCCATTGCTGCCCGGGGAGGAGAAACTGCGGTACTCCTGGCCATCCAAGTAGACGGGCTCTCCATTTGGATTGGGACCTGGTGGGATTCATAATTATTCAGTGAATTCTAGTAAATGCCCGGCTGGCAAAACAATCGAAACTTACAAGTCAGACAGACGCCGTTCACAACCACTGTGCCGGGATGAGCTGGTAATTATCAAAGAATCAATTAGCGTCAGATGCACTGGAATCTCGCGCAACTTACCGTCGATCAGAGCCGGAATTACGAGCAACGGGAGCAACACACACGTCAGGTACTTCATTTTAAAGCCGATAGATGACCGACTCGACTCTCACGCTGCTTATATAGTCCGGCACTTAATGCGATCTGAATCGATTATCAATTTGCATAAGTCTGAATGCCAGCGGCAGTGCGCTGCCTTTGATTTGTACTACCTATTCCCACGAAATTTCCCCCAGACACTATCAAATCGAACTGAAAGGGGATTTTCCACCTATGGTTTGATAAAGCTCGACGTAATTGTTTTCCTTGAACTTCTACAAAGAAATTTATGACAGTCACGCCCAAAAACGCAGTTTAAAATAATCATTAGACGTTCTAAACATGAATGGCAAGCGATTCCAGAGAATCACACCCCCATCACACTTATCCATATATCGTAGCAAAACGGGTTTTGTTCCCAAAAGTCGTGACTCGTGAGCAGAACGTACAACGTAGCGCCACAATTGACACTTAAAAATTGGTTTTACACACACAGTTAACCATTAATTACCGAATAATAAGCCTTTTTATATCAAGTTTTTTATAACATGACATAAAAACAATTGCACAAAATTAAAATGCATTTGAATTGAATACATATAAGAATAATATAAGAAATCAGAGAAAAATGTTAACTTACCAAAGTTATAATATCAACTTTGTTGATTTTATGTTGATTGAATATTCTTAAAATTTAAAAATATTTATTATAAATATTTATAATAACAGCAGAACGTAGAGCACCAACTGAACACTACGACTGAGTATCTGATGAGTTTCTAATTGTTTATGAAAAGTATCTGTGGGCAATTCCCTGCTGAGATTAATACCTACGTAGCGGCTGGTTTATACTGCGAAAGTTCTTTGCAGCGATAAGGTCTGTTTTTGTTCAGAATCGGAATCAGAAACCGAATCGCTGAGTGCACCGTATATAAGCGCCTGTTGTATGTCGCACCTGGTCCAGACCAGTTCGACATTTTGATAGACCAGCACAATGAGACATCTGACGGCATTGGCGGTTCTCGCTTTTTCTGCTCTGGCTTTTTCAGAGGCGGCTGTTTACATTGGCGGTGGCTGCTACGACTGTAAGTTAATTTCCAATAATTTAAAAAATTTTCTTAAAATGTTTTCCCTCCATTTGCTTACACATCCGAAGAAAATTCAGAAAAAAAAACCAGAAACACCTTTTTCCCTGTGCAGTGCAGTGTTTAAACGAGTTTTTTAAAGCTTACTTTGGGGTAAGCTTTCTTCCAGTATATTTATATTCAATAATAATTGAGTAGCAGTCAAATATATATTTTTTTGTATTTAAAATTAGAAAAAAAATATTTTTTCTTTGAAACATAAAGTTTTGTTTTCCAATGGGATTAAATTGATGATTTCCTGAGTAGTTTTTCATACATACCTTTAGAATTTGTATCTTATTCAGCCAACTTGGGTAATTAGATCTTTGGTTTCTATAGCAACTTCCCCAATGTATTTGTAAATGTGTAAAAATGTACAAAGTCTCGCGCGCAATTGAGTAAGAACAACGGACTTATTTTATGCCACTTTTAGGTAATCCTCCCGGAGGCCAAGGACCCGGAGTCTACACAGGTGTAAACGGAGGTCGTGGAGGAGGAGGTGGAGGAGGGAGTTATTACAACAACGGAGGTGGAGGGGGAGGTGGCGGTGGACGTCCAGTTTATTCGGGCAACTTTGGACCCGGCTATAGCAACGGTGGAGGAGGGGTGGAGGTCGCGGCGGCGGAGGAGGAGGAGGAGGCGGTTACGGTGGAGGTGGTTACGATGACGGCGGTATAACACAGATTATAAGAGGATGAGAATATAATCTAAAGGCTTTGTCGCCTCTAAGCCCCGCAAATGAGCAAACGTCGGCTGATATTCAGATTGTTCATATTTATATAGAATAAAATAAAAAACAAACATAAATGGCACGTGTTTTTAATTTGAACTTATGCTTATCAAAATATAATGTCGATTATTTGAAAGAAATAAATAATATAAAAATACAGTTCAAGCTTGTATTATTCAATGCCAATTATTGTTAACCACTTTATGAATAATTGAATAATCACTGCATTTATGAAATATTTAAATATTGAATTATCGATTAAGTAAGTTCGTATACTAATTGACCTTGTTAATCTCGCTTTAAAAGTAATTATAACATTTTATTAACACTTTCATTCCCATATTAATTTTAAGGTGGATAAATGCTTTTCATTTATCAGCATTTGTTGGTTGGTTAACATTGGCTTAACCTCCACTTATTATTGATAATTATTGAGTATAAATAAACACTTTCACTAGTGTATTTATTTTTAATTACCCAACAGGTTGGGTATTTTTCTTTTTTTTTTTCAACAAATTACCCTTCTCTATTTTATTGACATCACCTCACTGCAATCCATTGGAATTGCATATTTTTGGCTTCCATAGAATCCCAGAAGAAATCACTTCAGGGCTTTAAAACCTAACTGGCTTTTTCAGTGGAAATAGAATACAAAACATACCATGGCAAGGTGGAAATTTGAATTGCCAAAGGTCATAAATTAAAAACGAAATGATTTTCGAGTTCGATGTGAAATTTTTGGTGAATTTACCCAAGGGAATGCCTTTATTGCCACTGATTTATAGCTCTTCGGTTTTATAGTCAAATTTCGTTTACAATTCGCATTTTATTTTGGAAAATAATTTGCGATATACCAAAAGGGAAAAAGGTCACGCTTGAAAATATAATCCTTAAAAGCAGGGTTATATGTAAAAAGTTTTCATTGCAGCCCTTTTTGCACTCAGCATTACAAATGAAAATTGCATTTGCTGCTGCATAAATTATTGGGTAAAGCAATACGAATGTTTAAAAGTTACCTGAAATATTCCCCCCAAGCCATGTGGTTGAACAGCGCAAGTCCAGCAAATCTAAATAATTGATAAGTATTTAAAAGTTTCGACCCTTCCACTTCTCAGTCTTAATTACACGACTTGCCCTTGTTAAATACGCAACGCATCGAATTTCCTAAAAGTTTGTTCAAAGAACCGCTCGGCGAATCCACCGCCACTTAATTGAATCAATTTCAAGTTGGATGTTTGGTTGTACAAGGGTTTCGGTGGGCTAAGCTCAACCTAATGACCCGGAATAGAATTTAAGGCCATTATTAAATTACAATTTAAGCGAACTAGATAAATGTTCAAGGTTATCAGCAAAATATTTGTCTCAGTAAATTGACATAAGTCATGCTTTAAATAAAAATGCACATGAAATATTTACATATTGTGTGTTCAATTAAGCCATGTCTTCGGCTCCATATTCAAAATTAAACATCTGAGACAGAAATACGTTCCAGCTTAGTTTGCTTTTAATAAAAATATATTCATAGGAATGGACTTCTTAGTGAAGTCATGACGTTTAATAAACATTTTTAATTGAACGGTTGTGACAAAAATATAAAATAAACAATTAAATTAAACAAATAAGCTCCTTCGTTTCACTATTTCTTCTTAAAACCCTTGAGGAGAAGTATTTGATTTACAAATTGATCCCCTCTTTTATCGAAATTTGTCGCAAAGCATTTGATTTATTTTTGTTTTATTTGTTGCGAACGAATGCAAATGACATCTTGACAGCATCGCAAATATGTATTTTTTCTTTTACATTGCTGTTGAATTACTCACAAGGACAAAGGAAATTGAGTTAAAAAACATTTAAACAATTTAAACGGATGCTTTAAGCAACCTTTGCACTCTTTTAAGAAAATAATTACATTCAGCTCCATTGATTTGGGTTTTTTTCCCGGCTAATAGTAAATGGGTTCCCTCTACTTTTATCATTTGCCCGCTTGCAGCGAAACACCACAAGTCGGATGCAAAGTTTGCTACTTCATGGGGCAGCAATTGTGATTCCAGGTGACGGGACTTGGCGACTGGTAATGGGGGTGTAAGAGCTACGAGCTACGAGCTACAAGCTACGAGATACGAGAGCCATTAGCGTTCAAATTCCATGCTGGAAATTAACTTGGACCAGGCACTCTCTTTTGTTGCCAGCACGTGCAACTCTTGAACCTGCGAACTTTATGTTTCATATTGCAAAGTTGGCTTTGAAAACTATATACGCCAACGTGAAAAATTTAAATTGTATTCAAGTGGGTCTCAATATTTTCTATTCAAACTTTTTAACGCGCATTTTATCTCCCTTTTTAAATAATTACATTTATGTTGAACCTTAATTTATATTAAATGGCAAATTAGTTTATTAACGATTTAATTTGGTTTTTAAGAATCTGTCAGACTCACAATATTTTACTGTCTTTGGAGCCATACGTTTGTAGAAAAAAGCAAAATGAACTCATCTATAGACACAAAAATAAACACTGAAGAGTGTTGGCATTCTACCAAAAAAAAGGAAAAAACAGCATCAGTCTATTAGTTGCCACCGCCAGAAGGCATCCACATCTATGGCAAAGGCAAAATTCATGACTTCCCTTGTTGCTGAAAAAAGGCCAAAACGAAAAGCTTAAAAGGATTCAATTTCGTAGAGAAGCGCTTTGAAAAAGCCTAAAAATGCCCGAAGGTGCAACCTTAGACTGCATTTGCATCACAAAATCTGCAAGGGAGAACCGTCAAGAAAGTTATTTGCAGCTAGTTTGACTTTATGTTAGCTATGCAATTTTGTAAGTGAAAACAAGTTCATATGACATGAAGTTGTTCAGCTTAGAACAAATAAGAAAATACATATTTTTGACTAACAATTCAATAATTGTTATAATGTTTGGATGTGAAAAGTTTAGCAATATTCAGTCTCTTAAAGAGTTTTTTAATAAAGCTTACCAGAAAATCCGATTAAAAATATTAAAATGACTTTATTTAGAATAGTTTTTTAATATCGGTTTTTTCACTATTTTATTGCTCGCATATGTATAGTACTGCACTTCCATTTTTGTATGAATGTCGTATGTTGTATGAATGTCGTATGTCATATCACTTTGCGAAGAAACTTTCAACAACTAATATAAGAAGACAACAATTCAACAGCTGAGACGAGCTAAGGAGGAAGTTTTGTTTGCCTAGACATGCTGTGCAATATCTTCCCTAAAAGTAAAATTAAGCGCAAAAATAATTAATAAAATATGTATATTGTGGATAATAAATATAAAATAGAGCAGGAAGCTAGCAAAAAATGGCTAGGAGCTTTCCTGCTTTCTTGAAATTCAATACCAGGTTCAATTTAATTTAATACCAAATACCGTTTACAAAAATGGAATAATGTGCAATCAATATCCTTTTTTCGTTCGACTCGAGGCTGTGGCAAGAATTGAAATTGTTACCGCAGCAGATGCTGGTTTCGATATTGAAATTTAGGTGTTTCACCTTTTCTTTGATATTGCATTTGTGTTCCACGTTGTACATGCGGTTACAGTGGTTCAGAGGAACTTTCATATTGTCCTTTTAGCTGCGGTTCGGACTCCGTTAAAAATAGAACTACCAGGAAAAACAAATGCGGTTTCTAGCTCTATTGTCCAGTTTGACCTTTGCCAGTAAAACCATGAACCAGGTACAACGTGAATATTCATTTATTTGAAATATGCATTTAATTTAGCTTAACATACCAAAAACACAAGACCAGTGCCGCTATCCGACCCAGTAAACCCGCCCAGACCAGCAATCTCGCCCCAAACGACACCGGAAAATTCACAGACACGTAGGGAAGGATTTTTTGTATCTTTTGTTTCGATGGGTGGCTAAGGGGAGCTGAAATGCTTGGCATTCTCGATGGGACAACTACAACCCAAAAAAATAAAAACCGAAACTCAAGCTCAGACCAGCAGCCACAACCGCAGCCCCACATCACATCGCAACTACCACTAGATTGTGTATTGGCCGCATTTCGATTTACGGCCAGATCCGCACCACCAGCAGCATCAGCAGTAGCGTCATCGTCATCGTCAGCCGGAACCCCATCCAGTGCATTTTGGCCAATCCCACTCCGCCGGCGTCGTGGGCGCAGATGTTCTGGAGGACGGCACAGTTCCTGAAGTGCTTCTCGTCCGACAGCATTTTGGCCGTCTCGCGGGCAAATTCCGCCGAGTTCTTGTAGCACTTGTAGCGGGCACTGTTGTAGATGCAGTTCTCGTATGCGTAGCGGGCACTGCAAAGGACCAAGACTTGATTGATATCGATTCCGGCAAAATTTCATTCGACACTGTCCGCGGGGACTTGTAAATTGGTACAGCGAAAGGATGGTAACCAAAAAAGACGCAGCTGTTTCCAAGGAAAAACTTTACAATTTAAAAAGGCCAAACAACACAAATAACATTAGGCAAAGTAAACGAAAACTACACGCGGACAGAATTTTATTTACAAAATAAATTCTCAAAAAACAAAGAAGTCGGAGGAGGAGACAAAGTTTTTATCTTGCGACTTTAATCTTAAACTTCTCAGTCACTTCAAAAAATCTACTGTAAATTGTATTTTTTAAGGTTTTTAAATTTGTATTTAAACACAATAAAAATATTGGCAGTACCATAAACAGTAAAGTAAGATACGCCTCCAAAAATGTTTATAAAAAACTGCTTTTAAAGTTGATCCTTTCGGGAATTGCAATAAGAAGGAATATTTTTTGTCAAACGTACCAGCAAAATTCAAGGAATTTTTCGGTGGCGTTGCGCCTCTCGTCGTGAACCTCCTCCATGAGGATGCCCTCGAACTCGGCCGTGCAGGAGACCCAATCCAGCTGGATGTACGCAAAGCAGTCCTTGTGCCGCAGGTAGTCTGCAAATAGGGGGAGAATGCTTAAAATTCGTATATAAATAATGTTCATGCTGCTGTGGCTTGTGCATGCTAAGGCCTGTCAAGTGGGTGTCCTTTGTTTGGGTCTTATCACGGCTCTTTACCCAGTAATCTGGGGTTCTAGTGTCTGGTGTAATATGCGTGTGTGTTTAACACCCCGACGCCTGTGGGTATCTTTGTGTTTTCGCACATGAAAACTTGGCTAACTGATTTCGAACAGCTTTTAAACAACCATTCAACATTAGCCAAAACTTACCCCGCTGGAAGTCGGAGTCGCCGCAGAATTTGTAAAAAAATCGTCGAGCTCCCTCCACATTGTTCTTAAACGTGCCTAGTTTGCGATCGTCCAGGCAACGCTTTGAATAAGTATCGAAGCATCGCATGCCGCGGTTGAATATGCTGCAAATATGTAATTCGATTGAGCGAGGGACAATTGAGTGAGGTCTAATTGAATGTCGCTCAATTTGCTACTCCAGTGACACGGCTACTTTATGTATGTATGTATAAAATGTGACATATTTTATTTATTTCTTTAATATTTCTGCAGCTCCCCTAAAACAATTATACTAATAAAATAATAGCCCTCCACTATTAAGCAATAAGCTTAAATTCTTGCTAAATTGTTTCACTTGCATCGGAATTTTTTGGAATCTGAGGAATTTTTGTCTTATCTAACAAATTTATTTTCAAATTTCCAGACAAATTATAGAAAATAAACAGGGAAAACAAGAGAAACCAACATTCATATTAATGTGTTTAAGAACTTAAACCTGATTAATAATTTGTATAACGAGAAAAAAACTTTTTTCGCAGTTAATGCTATTGACTCTATTAAAATGACTAATTAAAAAAGGTATATTATTTAGCAGTACAAAAAGACGAAAAAAGAAAAACTATTTCTTGTTCAAGGAATTTATTTCTGATTATCCATTAACAGAAATGTATTTATAGACTGCCGACGACAGTAAACATTATTTTATTCAATTAGTGAGCTGATGGCCCGCTAATGTCAAATGTCTGCATATTTGTATGCCACTTCAGTCTACATAATTAATTATCGCTGCGGTTTTCTGTGTCCTTTAACCTTGAATATTTTTTAAGTGACTTACTTGCGGTAGCTTTATTAGCTAGTTATAAAAAGGGCTCATATTAATACATTTCCACCTAATGCTGTTGAAATCGCTAATTAAATGTCTTTATCTGACTTCACTAAAAATCTTCTATCACCCGAAAATAATATGCGAGAACTTTCCTATTAATGCCGAAAGTCTGTAATTTATTTTTGGCACTTGGAGCCGGCATAATTAATCATCTTCTTGGAGGCCCAGACAAGGCCTACTGCGTTTGTGGACCCAACTCAAGTCCCCTGTCGAACCGAGCACGTCCCTGAATAACTCTTACATTTTCCCCGCGGCAACAGAGAAATATGAATAAATCGCGTTTCATAAGCGGCTTGAGTTGGACAATCAATAATATATATCCTCTTTTTCACACTCGATATGCACAAAAGGCCTACTTGCACTTGGCGGTGATCTCCTTCTGGCTGATGACGACTTTGGTGTTTTGCAGGAATTCCATTAGATGCGGCGGCAGATCCTTAAAGCACTCATCCACCATTTTCTGCGTGCTGCCGCACTCCTCGACCGGCAATGCCACCTCCTGTGATATATTCCCGGAGTTCTGGGCCACAGCCTCAGCCGCCACACCGATCAAAGCGAGACAGTAAATTAAAATCACACTGCACAGTGAGCTTGTTACGCACATCCTCGGACGACACTTGTTGCCACAATTCGAATAATGGATATTAATTGACCAGTTTCTTGGGATTGCTGGTTAACCCAACCGCACGAACGCTAACACCGCACTGAATCCAGCTACCTCGGCCAACTTGTATAAAAAGGACTTTGAATCAGAATCTCTGTTAACTCACTGTAAGACCTATGTTAACTGTGGCGCTTGCGCATTTTCTATATCAGCACGTGCTTCGTCCTTTGTTTACAATACAAAGACGGACGACTTTCTGACGGACAGCCAGACACATCGCCACAGGATATGGGGCTTCGCATAAATTAGCGTCCACTTCAGCTAGGCCAGGTGTAGATGGAACCGTAGAGTTTAAGTGATTGATTGTCCCCAATCATTGCTCCTGGTGTCGTATTCCGGCATACCTTTTCAGCCACAGTCAACGGGCACCGGTTTCAAGTTGATTAACTCACCTGTTCACTGTCCTCTGGGTACAGTATTTCACAACCGAAATTCGAAATACCCTTGTCATGTTTTCTTATTGTCTGGTCTTTCGCTTGTCCAGTCTTGGAAACCCGAAACATTCTTTGGCCACAGATGCACCCACTCAATTTACTGTGCAATTAAACTTTATGTGAAACGAATGCATTGGGTTTATGTCCAGTTTCGTATGACATTTTTCTTAATTAAAAGTTATGAGTTTACCCAAACGAAATCTGAATGCTTTTCAAAGAATTTTCGAGATAACACACTTTTGTTTAATTGAGTGTTTTAATTGCTTTAATTTTTACACCCTTGCCATAGACAATAATATAATATGAACACTTGTTTATTAGTAAGAAATGCAATTAGCAGTTAGTTGAATAAGCCTTTTGTATAATTGACAAACTTCACTTATTTCACTTATCCAATTGCCTCACAGATAAAATATTGACTTGTGCTACAATCGCTATCGTACATTTCGCCATTGTAAATGTCCACACAGTTATCTGTGCCAAATAAATTGTTTGGTTGCTCTGATTCCCACTTGAAAAAGGGTGCTGATTTGCCAGTGGCCACGGACACATACTCTCCCTCCTTGGCCACGTCTGTGATGCCCAGCCAGTAGCTGAAATTTTTCGATAGTTCTTTTTTGATGGCGTTAAAGTCCGATTCGCTCTGAATAGTTGCCAGGTGACCGCCCATCTCGCGGCAGGTTTCTTCAGCAGCGTCCCAGGACTTTTTGATTTCTTTTTCGATGTAAATTAATCTAGACCCGAGCCGCGTGAACAAATGAGATATACTAGCGTTGGATTCACGTTTAGACATATTTTCCTGCAGGCCTGCCAGTAGGTTTTCAATCCGATCCAGTTTTGTCTGTAAGTCAAGGATATTTGCATTCGTCGATGAAGCTTCCTTCTGGTCGAGCAACTTGTCAAGTTTGGCTTCGATTCTGACAAGTCTTTCCTGTGTTTCATTATGTTTTTGGGGATTGCAGGTGCTCCACTCCTTTTGGTGAAAAGCAATGTGATCGAGCATTGGCTTCAGTGCCTCAAGACAAAACTGTCCACATTGATTTGGCGGGTCGTTCAACAGGCATACGGATCGCCCATTGTCAGGGCTTTCTGCCATGGATACATACAGATTGTATGAAAGGAAAAACAAAATCGGTGACTTGAACATATTAAAATCGAGCAACCGGTAAGGGCAAACGCTTTGAAAAAACTGAATCTCGATTTATTCGTTGACTTTCGAAGAGCTGTAAATTAAAGCGGAGAACTGCCGAGTTATGCCTTATAAGAGAACAAATCGTAATCAGTGGGTGTAATGCACTTGTTTTGAGTCTCACTCTGAAATTGTTTTGAACGAACTTTGATCTCGAATCATATTTTAAGCTTTAATAAAAGATTAAATTGCACACATAAATACAACTAACATTGATAAGGACAGCGGCAATGCCCAGCGTGTTGGCACTGATCAGCTGACGAGATCTGCACTCGACGTCAGTACCTGGGGATTTAGGTACAGAAATAGAGTGCAAAATTTCAAACGATTCGTCCAGGATCGTGTTCACCGACTTTGAAATGGCAACTTTTCAGGAGAGCTTTTTAAAGTTTTCGACACCCAAAAATCGAATACAAAACGAGCTACTTACTTACTTATACTGCCAATAACTTCGGAAGCTTTACTCGAATCAATCTAACATTTTTACGCAATATTATTCAAATGTTGTATACCCAGAAAAAAAGGCAACAAATTTAAAAACCATACTTTAATCTATGTTGCAGAGTTCAGGTGATTGACATTATCCTTTCCTTCGATCCTTACTCTTTCATGAGTATTAAGAATGCATCATATGAATAATTTTGGAGAATATAATTAACAGAATATTCTGCAAGGGTATATCAACTTCGGCTCCGCCCGAAGATAGCTTTCCTTTCTTTTTAAATATAATATGGCCTTAAATATGAATTTTTTAAATTTATTAAAGTAGCAGAAAATTGGTGTTCGTCAGAAAGTATAAAGTGCTTTATTCTCTGTTCAGGGCATTCGACTACATTACTTTAAATGGGTTTACTTGTATATTGAGAGATAATGTTATTTATTTCTGCTTTCAACACAAATGCAACAGGCTGCCTTGGTGGGCAAATAGTCAGAAGGCAACAACTTTTGGGACAGAAGCCAATTAATGCGAAAACTCGATTGCCCCTTTTGCATCGATTGGCGGATTGGTATACATTATTAAAATTAAAGTACTTTATAAATGTTGTTCCTTTTAGTTTTGCTGAATATATGGCTACATACCAAATAAAAATGTTTGGTATTGTTGGAATTTTAATCCGGCCCAATCTTAAATAAATCGTTTTATTAAGTTTTTTTATAAACATTTATTTATGCAAAAAGTTATACATAATCGTACATACATACACTAGTATATATGCAGGTAGTTACATGTGCGTATTTGATATATTATTAGGTTTTGAACATATGGATTATCTCACAATAAATCGATGATTTCCTTCTCAAAAGTATGCAGTTAAAAGTATAATGCTGGCGATGGATGATTCATGTTTCTGGTGCGATGTTAAGAGGCACAGCATTCGATTATTATAATGAACATATAACTAAATGATTTCAAAAGTTTATTATTTTTCTGTTACACAATCATCGAGAGGATTACACGTCCCTCTTGTTAAAATCAATTCTGAACTCATCATAAGCAAGGATTGCCACGATTGCACGATTGCCGTTATTATCAATAAGAATTATAAATTATAATTATGTTTATTATTATAAGGTTAGTCAACTGCCGTTTGGTTGAACTTCGTGTAGTTTCTGAGTATAAGTCTCACATTTTGCAGAATAATTTCAACAGATTTTCTGTATGCTTTTTATTTAATTTTAAAAAAATTTATTTTGATTGGTGCCAATTCTTTAACTTGTTTAAGGCACATGTTGTTAACATTTCCTTCTCCCAACAAAAATTTGTAAAAATTCTTTAATTTAAAATAAAATTTGCAACAACTTTACGTCGCAGCGGTTGCTTTGTACCATAAATTAAATGCAATTTACTTTCGCTTTCTAGTTTTGTTCTTTTCTAATCTTTCTGCATTCATTTTATTACATTTACAAATAAAAACGATACATATTAAGTTAAGAGTTTTAACAATGCCCGATTCCATTCTAGGCGGAGTGATGTTTATTTTAAATTAAAGAATTCCTTTTTGTGGCATTGCTTTCAAGAACAATTATTCGTTTAAAAATGTAAGTTATTGTTTATTTCTGCATATAATACATTAGCTTTAAAATATTTAAAATAATTTAAGTTTAGCTTTTAATTGTACATTATGAATGCTTGATGTTATCATCCTATTATGCTTGTTTCATTAACTAAATATGGCTGTTAGACGAGTTTAATATGATATTGTTGTTTCCTGTTTCGCCCCCACTTACTTTTCACACAATCAATTTGAAGTGGGGTAGGAATTCTATTCAGACGATATAGATATAGTATAACATAATCAAAAAATACTTCATTAACAAGAATTTGCGTCAGTTTAACAAAAATAGATTATGCTTAATTGACGGCTGTAAATCTGTATCCGACATAATAGTGAGTTGAATTCTTAAAAGGTTTTTAATGAAAAAAGGACTACCGACTATCGTTTAACTAGTGAAAGATTCATTTTTGCAATTTGAGTTAAAAAAAGCAGATATATAAAAAAATTAAAAGAGTTTTGTTTTTATGGAGAGTTTTTTAGATGAGATTCCGTTAACATGATTTTCCTTAATTTTGTTAAGGGGTTTTGGGGTAATTATATACAGACTTGTATATGCATATTATATGTATATATACAATATATGTATATATATATGTTTGCATTAAGTATGTTTTTGTTCGTTGAACTTTTACACTAAGAACTAACTTGTATTTTCCATTAGATTATGTTAATTAAACTAAGTTCTATGTTTGATTCTCTTATCAATTTTTTGCTTAATTGCCTTGTTTTGTTTCTATCAAAACGTAACAGTTTCATGGCCACAAGATTCAATACATACTGATGTTGCTGCTGTTCTGTTGTTGCTGTTGCTGCTGTGCCGCTGCAAGTGTTGCATGTGCTGCATCTGCTGCCCGTGTGGCAAATGGTTTCTGAGTTCAGGGTAAAGTAGGTGTTTTAGTAGCTGTGTCAGTGACATGTGGTGGCTCAGTTTTCTGGCTTTTGATTTTTGTTAGCTTCAGATATGCACATACACAACACACACTCGGCTCTGCTTTTGGCCAGTCGGGGATGCTGCTGCTGGGCTGATTCCGTGCTCATCTACGGCAGGCGGTGGATTCATGGATTCATGGCGGATGGAGGAGCGGAATTGGTAGTGTGTTTAGGGTGTTTGTTTGGTTTCCATTGGAATATTATTAATTTTTTTTGTTTTAATATATTTTTATTTTTTTAATTAAACATTTGTGAGTATGTAGAATATATTTGTTTGTGTTGTTTGTTTTTGTTTTTAGTTAGCATGTAAAGAGAGAGAGATTCATAGAAGTGGAAATAGAGTTTGATTAATATTTCATGGTTAGCAGTTAGTTTTTCTTGTAATAATCCTTGTGTTATGCGAGTTATGAGCGCAAAAAGTTACCACGCATTTAATTAGCATTTACATAATCAGTGGAGCTCACAAAAACATGCTGAATGGAAAATTGTCACAAACATTTAGTAACTTTTTGCTGAATGCTAAGCGCATCATTTAGAATTTTTGAATCTTGTGATGCGCTCAACATTTCTGACTTTAATAAAGACAAACACATACATTATTATCATTAGAGTTTCATCGACAGGATATTATATTAATTTATATAGAAATTGTAGATAGTGCAAATATTTGTGTGTTGTTGAAACGTTATTTGATGCAACATTTGATGGTTATTTAAGTTTGTTCTCTATTTCAAATATACAAGAACATGATAGGTTTTTTATTCCTTTTGAGATTAATTCTTTTTACTAGTTTTCTTTTGTTTGTTTTTGGTTAACTTGGCCTTTGGTTAGTTATAATTAGCAATAGTATTACATCACATTTTTTTTTTTGGTTTTGCTATAAAATAAATGTTTATACCGTTTAATGGTTTTAATATGCTATTTATAATTTTATCACGTAATAATTAGGGGAAAATAAAATTAAACAAAAAGATTACATAAAATTGCAGGTGCATAAGCTCATATTACAGAGTGGGTTCCGGTTATATTTGTTTTTTTTTTACAATAGCCAAAATAAAAGAACTATTAAAACAATAACGTTATTTACATGTTTTATCTTTACATACAAGAAAATTTCTGTTGATGTTAGAAAAAGACTGTTAATTATATTTATTTACATTTTAAAAGGTATGCTTTCATTTAATCTTGTTTTCTCAATGCATTTCTTTTTGTTAAGTTTGAATTCTGAACTTAGCAAGTTTACTTGAATATAATAATTTACACTTAGTAACTTTTCAAACAACCAGCAAGAAGTTCGTCCATTTAAAGTGATGAAGAATCAAAAACTATTAAAATTTTATTGCTTTCACAGAGATAAGAAGATATTAAGTTCCTCCCATTCTATTATTCTTTTTTATTCAGTTTTAAGCAGATGCCAATGCAATTTCATGAGATTTAGAGTTACAAGTTATGTAATCAACTAACTAGTCTAGAGATCAATTATTCATAGACAGGAAGTACCGCAACCCATAAGCTTAAAGATTAAGTGTGATAAGTACACATAGATACGTGTATCATATATGCAGATATACGCTTCATAGGATACATAAATTATAATGCATATGCCATAGCACTTGTGGTGGTATCTTGGTAGTAGTTGTTTGGTTGGTCTGGTTGACAGTTGCGTTGGTTGGATTAATGATCAATCGAGGAGTGGGTGGTAAGCATAGAGTTATGCCCAAAGGACGTGTGTGGGTGAGGATTTTATGTATAAATGCGGTTGTGTCTGGGTTCTATAGTTAAGTTGTCTTAGTTACTAGAGTTGCAAACAAACAAAGTGAAGTGTTTATTAATATTTCTGATCAATGAGTTATGTGTGACGACTGAACACGAAAAATAAATATCATTATTTATTCGTTGGGGGTTAAGTTCGAAAGCGTTAGATTTTGGTTTAAGTTTTTTTTTTTAGGAGAATTCTGAAAGAAGTCAAGTTTGTGGAACAATAAAGAATCATAAGACTTGGTAAGGATTTTGTTTTGTTTGTTTTTTGTTGTGTAAATTTTTTTTTAATATTTTCATTTTGTTTTTACTTCAACAAAAATCATTGATCTTTATTTCTTTGTGGTACACTTTCGGTTCAATTGCAACATTTACATTCGAACGCATAATACAAAATAATCGTATAATCTTAAGAGACTAAACAGGGGACTTAGTTCTAGGATACACATGTAAAATTCATATCTCGTAAAGAGTTTTTTTGTTCAATAAGGTATATGGCTTATTCAAGAGTAATACAAATAAAAATCTACTAAAATGTTTTGAAATCCTTTTCTTTTTTTAAATATTTTTTTTTCAACTTCTTTTGCGTGTATGTAAAACATCAAAGGCACAAGTCAACGTGGAAACAAAGGAAAACTAATATAAAAATTTGTGTATAAATATATTCATATAAAAAGATATTCAACTCTTCATTCCAGAAGCTATCTGGACTGACAGATTTTGCATGTGTCTGTACTTTTGTTTTATCAAAATTTCGTTTTGCTTGTTGTTTCAAAACTCGCAATCGAAATAGAATGCAAGGGTACCAAGCCTCATTTGCATTTTATTCCGGGGAAAGATAACACATAAGGAAAATAATAGTTTGATAAAATAAATAAAGGAGTAGAAACACAACTAACCTGTGGAGGCGGTGCGCTTGACAATTGTTTTGCGGAACTCTGATCAGGGCAGAGCGGCCTGGCCTGGCCAACGTTTCCGGCCAGGTTTCATCGGATATACAGTTTGGGTTTGGGGAAAGGGGAAATGGAGGGGGACTTAATGAGCAGCATAGATATCAAAATAAATAGCGGAAAGTTAAAACAATTTAACTAAATTGATTGGTTGCCTGGTGAACGCAATCTAAGGGCAGGCAAACACAATCGTTCTCGAAAGTATTGATAAAAGGATTTAAAGTTGCTTCTGTTGATATGATGTGATATAAAAAAAATTGAACTTCTGATTTTAAACGTGTGATTTGGACGTGTTGATTTACTGTATTTCAATGAAACCCGCCGGCTTGGCTGGCACTCCGACCGTTGCTCGCTGATAGGGATGTTCGCGGTTAGTCGCCAAACGACGCTGCTGCTTAATGGCGCCTACTAAAATATACGATACGATACATGTAGATATATGTTTGCATAGGCATATCGGTTATATATATATATATAAATAGATGTGAACATAGTCGCTACAAAATACAACTTAGGTCTAATAGATATTGCATACATCCTTACATCTACCATATGCTTGCTCAAACTGAAGCTGTGCTGCCTTTGCTGGAAACCAATTGCCAACTGAGGGGGAATTATCGACCTGTTTTTCGGTATTCTTTTACTTTGTAACATTTAAATTCTCTGCTTCTTTGGAATGAGTCGTTTATATATGTGATTGTGTATTCGATATTTGATCTGATATTTAGACTTGGCCCCAAAATAAGTGATTTTCAAGCCGCTTAGCCTAAGGTATTCGTCTCCAGTTTATTGTTAAATTCTAGAAATGATTGTGTTCCTCAAGCATTTTGTTCCTCCAGCTTGCTGACTAGTCGTGCATTCAACTGATTTTGGATTATGATTTCTGTTCTTGGACGGCTACCTTTGAGCCTCGACTAAACTTAGATCTAATTGAAGTAATTATTTAAGCACCAACATGATTCAAGGCTCCTTTCCACTATAAAGTACTATATATAAATATATGTATGTGTAAATTTTTAAAAAGCTTTTCTGCAATTCTGTTCAAAGTATATGGTTTGACGAGAAATGGCACTGGCTGGAAAAATTGAAACGGTTTTCTTTTCGCTCTTCGTTAGGTACATTTGTGCATAAATACTGTCCCCCCATCGCAACACTCACTACAATAACTACATAAAAAACAGATACTTAACTAAATTGCACTTAAAACTCGACCCTCATACCACAAAACTAAAATAGGGTTATTATGCAGAAGAGAAATTGATAAAGTATAGCCCTCTTTAATTTGAATACTCATGGGTTCCAAAAAAAACGAAAATCAACAACTTGCTTTGGATGCCGCTGTTGTTGTTGTTCTCAACTAGAATATACTCATATAAAAACGTTTCGGGTGGAAAAACATAAAAGTTAAAGTTAGAATTAAAGCGACTACATTTTAAGGGCCTAAAAATCACTTATTTTTGCCAATATTGCTTATTGCGGAATTATTTCCCTTTTTGCATCCTATCATCTAACTAAAGAAGAATTTTAATAAGAAATATTAAAAACAAATTCATTGACGAGCAATAATTTTCTTGTTTGATTTGTTTCATTTTTCATTGAGTATTTCTGTTTTCCTGTTTGTTGTGCCGTTTTACTTTTACGTTTTTGTTTCTAGGTAGTAAATATTTAATTGTATATATACAGTCTATACATTTATGTGTGTGTGTGTATAATTCTATTCCAGTTTTGGGGTGTGACTGTAACTATATAACTTTAGGCTAAACATTTTCAATGGGTTTTTCCTCAACATTTCGTTCTGTTTTTGTTGTTCAAGGGAAAAATAATAGAGAGTGAGAGAGAGAAGTTCAAAAGACGGAGCCGGCATGCATATATCGACCAACTGTAAATATTTATGTTTATAACAAATATATAAGATAAAATAGTCTTTGGATAAAATAATGAAAAGGGTTTGGTTTAATTCTGTTAGCTCTGGTTAGAATATTATAAAAATTGTGAATTTTTTAGGAAAGCAAGGTTAAAAGCGTGAAAATCTCATTGCATACTTTATGGCACTGAACGTAAATAATAATAACTGTGTTAAATTCATGTAAAATACCTGCAACCAGTGGCGTATACATGATTTATTGTCCGGCGGTTGAAAAACTAAGTTTTTCTGTAGGATACTTTTTTTTGCACCATATTTTCTATTACATTTTTCCAATGGGGGTGTGATTACGCCACTGGCTACAACAAATCCATATTATTGCCTGCTATATAACAACAAAAAATATGTACAAGCTCCTAATGATTAAATGCAAAATCGAAATCTTTCACATGACAAGTAGGTGTGTAAACAAGACAATTAACAAAACAAATATTACAAAAAAAAAAATAATAATAATTAATATGTTCAAAGAACATGTATAAAAAATAAAAAAGAAATAATACTAGATGCTTGAGCTCACTGGCGCTGCTGGGCTGTCACTTCAAACCCAATCGATTGCACTTGGTTAATGTGTTAAGAGGATAAACAAACCTACCGGGCGTATGCGCAACGTGTAAATTGTATCTCTAGTCTGTGTTAAATTGTGTGTGATGGTATGTGCTTGTCTGGCGATATGCTATATTATTGCTCGCAATTTAACTGGTAGCTAAACCCCCCGATTTATGTAGCTATATCTTCTGAGACGACTGCCTAGATTGATGAATGATTCGCTAAGTGTGTGTGTGTGTGAGCATAAATCATAATCGATATAGAGATAGCGATGGAACAGAGTGATTCAGGGTGAGATATGTGATTATCTGGCAAACAACCCACCGCTATGATCAGCATATTCCGTGAGCAGAGGATTGCCGGCGAGGGCGGCGTAGTTCGCGTAGTCGTACGGTGCGAAGATCATTCCATGGCCGGTCTGATCGAAGGCGGCTGTCGGAGCGGCCTGGGCGGACAATATGCTGGCCGCCGTTGTGGGGACGGTCATCCGTGGATTCAGGATCAATGGGGCACCCAGCGGGGCGGAGGCGGGGGCGCGAATCTGGGCAGCAAGGCCGGGCAGGCCGGTGGGCGTCAGCAGGCGGCTGTCGGAGGCCATCAGGCGGCGCCAGTCCTCATCGCACACTGCGGGATACAGATAAGAAGCAGAGCCAACGCATGAAAAAGCTGGTCGTCGTACACATATATCCAATACAAAATAAAGAAATGTAAATCGAATTTAAATCAGTTTGGTTTCGTTAAAGGTACAGTTGCAAAATCGTTAATGGTTAATGGCCTCTCGCTCATTCGATTTTAGCTGGTAGTTCTCGTTATTATCTTTTGTGTGTTTTAGCTCTGTCTGAGTGGAGATCGGGTTAGGTTATTTGGTTTTAGATGGATAGAAGATATAGAGAGGCTTCGGTTGACATACCTGCGACAGATTTCACTGTTGTATCCCTATAAGTGCCGTTAATAATCGCCAATTCCATAAGTTGACGTTTCTTTAGCTCATCTTCGCCTTCGGCTTGCTGTTAGTACGAGTGTATGTTTGTGTTTTTGTTTTGTTTTTTTTTTGGGGGGATTTAATGTATTAAACGGAATACATTAAAGCAGATTAGATTTGTTGGTAGAGAGAATGAGAAATAATATAAGAAAATTCATTATTAATTATATTGGTTAACATTCAATTAAGTTTAGCTGAGAAATCATTTAATAATTTATTATTGATTTAACATAGACAAAGGAGGTGGGAAAGGCAACACGCATTTGTTTTTAATTTCTCTGTTTACTTTCTCTTTTACTTTAAGCTTTTCGCGGGCGTATTATGAATTTTTTATTAGGCAAGTATAAAATTACTTTTGACTATTTTGAGGGTCACTCGCTTTTTAAAATTACTTGCGAAACACTTACCGGCACGAGCAACTTCTGCACTTCGGCCACGGCCTGGGCCAACTTGACGGTGGCCCGATTTTCGGTGTCCTCGACGGTTATCAGGACATGCAGGTCATCGGACAGATGCTCCCAGTTGGGCTTGCCACGGTTGGCGTCCTCCTGAAAAATTAGCACAATGAAGAAAATTAACATGTAAATACAAAAAACATGCCTACAAAAAGTAAATATAAAGAATATGCCTACAAAATACTTTTACGATATTTACCTAATTTGCTAGATTTATTTATTATGGTATTAGAACCTCTTTCGTGACTTCAATTTGTAAAATATTTATATTTATATTTATTTTTAATTTTAAGCACGAATGTGTGAACTGGCCATGGAGAGAATTTCCCAAAACAATAAACCGTACAATGTTAATAGAAGAATTCGAATAATTCAATCATTTTACCTCCTCTTCACTGCTCTTAATATATGCAATATTCAGAAATGTGAAAATTTAAATGAAAATGTATAAGCAAGGTGCCTATGTGAAAAATGGGGCAAAAGAATTAATAGTTGGCGAGTCACGCCGCGCTAAAAACATTATTGCAATTTTTAATTTCACCGATGTTATTACTAGCGGCGTACGTGCTTGAAATATAATGAATTCTTGCGATTTCTCCTTCATCTCGCTTGAGTTGTGACCCACAATTTATAATCAATTAGGATCAAATTGGATAGAAATTGTTTTGAAGAAGTCCAGTACTAATTCGACGTCAAATTAACAACTGTCAAGTTGGTCACCGTATAAGTGCCGGCAAAAGTTTTATCAGGAATTGAGTGCGACCTTTTTGTTGGCCACTTCGGATGAGTGGCCAAGCTAAAGTAACACAAAACGAACCTGAACAAATATATCTAGAGGAAGGTCTTCTTACCTGAAGCAAAGCATGCACAATGACTAATTTCTTATTCGGTTGTCGGGTCTATTTCTATCTTTAAGATGCAAGTAAACAGAACATTTATATTCTTTCGGTTCTCACTTGTGTCACAGACGAAAATCTTTCGGTTCGCGATGAGTCAGACATTTGTGTGGGAGTCCTCCCCATTCATTTCTACTAAATTATCGAAATATTGCAACCGAATTCCCAATTTTAAAAACTCTCCTGTCTGACTGTCTGCCTTTCTTTCTGAATGCCGCTCATTTGGCCCGTCACATTTATGAATTACAAAAATACATTTAATCATCTCGAGACACTCATTTTATTTTTTCCTTCTTTTCTTCTTACTTGTCTTGCTTTTTTCGTCAGGGGAAATTAAATCATCAGAGCATTTTGAGTGACAACATATGCATATAAGTATGATATATAAATATCAGTGAATGTGTTGTATGCAGTCCAAAGTTTAGACTTAAAGGTATCCCTTAAGATTACAATAGTTAATTATTTAAAAAGAAAATAAAAATAAATCTTTAATATTGGTGCTAAATCATATTTCTTCAAAAAAATGTTCTGGTCACTACTAATATTAAACAAAAAATTGAACAATACCTTACAATGTCTTAATTAGATTACAATTTTGAATATTGTTTTTTTTTTAATAATTATTCTAAAATAGTAAAGCTAGATCTTTATTACTTTTGCGGAATATTAACCACATAGCAATCATATCCAAAAATAAAACCTTAAAGAGACGAGAAGAGGGGCGTTTTTTCCGCTTTATAATTAAGAATAATTCCCATTTGGCACGGAAACCGACTGTCAACAGAATTTTCATATGCACGCGTACCATATTCGCGGGCACTATTTACGATAATTAAAATTGAAATTGAAGTGCTCGGCTAATGGCTAAATATCTTTGGAATGCACACAAAAATTTGTGCAGTAAGGCCTCGTTTCTTGCCAAACCATATGGAATTTGGAATCCACTCAATGCATTGCACTCACCTTCTTCTTGTCGCGCATGGAACCCTTGCCTCGGACCATGATCTTGCAGCCGGTCTCCTGCTCCAATTGCTTGGCGGTCATGCCACGGGGTCCCAAAATGCGACCGACAAAGTTGAACTGAAATGGAAATGAAAATGGAGAGGAGATATAAATTAGATGTTGGAAATTAGAGGAAATCATTAGCGAATCAACATACGATCTAATTAACTGGCTAACTTGGTCTAAAGTTCAAAGTTTTTGGCAAATTTAAAACGCATTAGATCGGCTCGTGACTCAGGATGCATAAATGCCAGGCCAGATCCGTTCAAAGTCGAAGTTATTAAAGCGTATGACGCTGGTCAGATTCGGTTCGTTGAAGGCTGGAGTCACCCACAGCATTTGGCACAACAATGGGCGAACGTAATATGACCCGCGGCGACACGCCTGAATTTGGCACGATAAACCAATCAGCCAGATAGACACACAAAACTCTTTGTGCATATAGCCAAATGCATTCAGTCAGTCAGTTAGCAAGTCAGTCAGGGGCACTCGAAAAATTAAAATCGAGAAATCTGGATGATCAAGAAATCTACTACAAATCATGTTACAGACTAAAGTAACAGATGTTAAAATTAAATTTGAATTTTTGTTCATGGCTAATGAAATCTTACGCATTAAACGAACTAATCACCATTAAATTTATTTTTTGCGGTGTATCAGGCGGCGACATTCAAAAGAATTTTGCTTAAACTATTAGCGGAGCGTGCAAAAATCTTTTGACGCGCTTGTCGATGATGATGGACGTTCATGGCATGTTGGCCAACAATATTTTCAAGCCTTAAATCCGCGATGAGGTGACCCCAACCGTAAGCTGCCGTGGCGCCCAATTATCATATACTTTGGTTAGATTGCAACAACCTGGGACCGCAGGCCTGCCGATAAATTAGATTTATTGGCCAGATCAAAAACATTTCCATGTGAGTTACTATGTTGTAAATTGCTGACTAAACTAGTTCTGGTCGCGCCCCGGGGGCGTAACCCACCCACATGCATCTGGAGACCCATTGCGAATGCGATGATGTGATGGGATGTGAGATATGGGGATGTTAAGTGCACAGCGATGCGATCATCGACAGCAGACAGCCGCTGGCAGCAGTTAGCCAAAGTAGCAGCAACACCAGCTGTTGTCAGTCAGTCCGAATGCTGTTTCTGTATCTGAAAGCCTGCATCTGCAACTGCAACTGCATCAGCGGCAATTGCAACTGCCACTGCCTGAGATCGAATCAATTGAAAATTGCCGCGAAGAATGCAGTTAAAGCCTAATGGCTCTGGCAATTTTAATTAAATTTTGAAAAACCATTTAACCTCCATTGAAGTCCACAAAACTATGGCGAGAAAGTTGCTAGACCCAAATAAACTGAAATGTTGCTGCAATCACAACGCTTCCACATACGTTCGTACAAAATGAGATACGCAAGCAAAAGACAACATTTACATTGCTTATCGCCTGCATATCAGTTGCTTAATTAAAAATCCCTGGCTCTGTTCAATGTTTGCACAAGTGATCTCTTCCATTTACCATTAAACGGAAATTAAAACCCATTTCCCCTCGTGCAACACTTCACAGATTCCACATACGACTCGTTGCAGTGCTACTTGCGTTCGACAAATATTGAGGAATGCCAAACAAATACGAGTGGCCAAATAAATTATAAATGATTGCGCTTTAAGCGTTTTGCTCTTCCCATATGTTACTTTAGAGTTCGTGGGGGAGTTCAAATAGAGACGGCAGTTTTCATATGGGAGGCAATAAAGATTAAGATTGTAACACTTGAAATTAATGGCTTTTGTAGAGTGCTCCCTAATACTTGTTTTCATTAATGATTGATAAGCAATCATTTTATTACCAAGATTTAAAAACAAAAATTATAAAATTAAAATTAAATTATATTAATGGCCTAAAAAGTGTGGTTCAAAGAACACTTTTTGTCAATGTAAGTAATTCAGTGAATAAGCTGGAATTATAAAATAAATACAACCTTAAGATATTTAATGGTACAACAAATAAGATCTTAAGGCCCAAACAAAGTCAATTACTAATTCTTTAAAAATGCACAATTCACACAGAAGGCCCATGTATTTTTAGAATTCGAAGGTAGCATAATAAAACCTTTTTTTCTATTGTTAAGAGAGCTTTTCAGACGTCACGCACTACACGGAAAAAAATATAAAACAACTTATTTATGACCTGATAAGATTAATCTTTAATTTCAAGGTATTTTTAAACATGGTTTTTGTTTTCCGATTAAAATGAATACTGATTTACTAAGTTTACAAAATTAGCTACATTTTGGAATGAATCTAAAATAGATTTCTGTATAGGCAAACTGTTTGCGACTTTGGGTCTGTAAAATTGAATTGACCCTTTGCCGGCGGTACTTGAGCCAAAAGTGCTGAAGTAAACAGACAAAAGGCAGACGACAACGGTAGCTGCAAGGCAAGTCAAGTGGAGGGAAGCCAAGTGAAGCGTACAAATAAATGTTGTATGGCGTATGGGGGGAAGTGTGCTTTTTATGAGAGCGGAGGCTGCTGCTTTATTTTACAGATTGTGAGCTCAGATAGGGCGCAAGGAATATATTTTATATTTATACAATTTGTACAACAATTTTCAATACAGCAAAAGGTACAAACAATTGATAAGCGAACTGCGACGCACATACAAAGGGCACCGACAATACTGAAAAGGAAAGTACAAACAAACAAACAAACACACGAGAGGCTGTGATAAGGAACCCCCCACTAAAGGTGACCATGACAACAGACCAACCAATTGTGCGCAAAACTTTTCATACGAAAACCAAAACACAAAGAGAATATTTGGAATTTTTCATTAGGAGCTGAGTAGAAGAACATTATACTTTATAGTGTTCAGATTTTAATCGCGTTGTCCGTGTGACTCAGTGAGTTTTACGAATCTTTTCATTTGAGCCGCTCGCCAGTAAATTGGAAACAGAAATGCATAAGCAACCAAGGCAGGGGTCGGCATAGATCAAATAGATTAGTCGGCTACTACTATGCATATATAGTACATATATGGCATATATATGCATCTACACAGAGAGACACTTTAGCAAACATAATTACGCTACACAAAAAGCTCGTCTATTACACGGAAAAATAAATCAAACTTTGACATGACAAACAACGGCAGCAAATTTAACTTGAAAATAATGCTTGCCACATTTCGCAGTCTGTTTTTTTTGTTTTCTACGCCATTCGGGGTTGTACCTATTAAATTACCAAACAACCGAAAATGTACATAAAAATTGCACGTAATTAGCATTTCAATGTTTATGACTAATTTGCTGCAGTTTGTAGATTAATTGGCTTTTGTGTTAACGGCTTAGACAATAAACAAAAAGGCGCACAAGCGAAACAAAAAGCAACATAAGGTGATTTGGGGAGACATCAACACAATGTCTGAGATGGCCTGCTGTTGGGATATAATTTGTCTTAAATATGGCCGCGATTTCCCACTTGATCGATATGACTAAAAGCCAAATGACCTTAACACAAATCGAATGTCAAATGGTTCACAGGTGGGGAATGTATAGTCTGTGTGGGGGTGTGACCGCAGCATTAATCAGCGGAAAGGGAATTTACTCATTCCAATGGGAAGTATTAACAATTGATTAATTAATCTCTAAGCAGATCGCTTGGGTGTTCGTGTCTACGGAAACATTTAACATAATTACCAATACTCGGGTGTTTTTTATGTTTTAATTGAACAATTTGGTTGGGAATAATCGAATTTTAAAGGTAGTTTCAATCACTAAACTTAGTCAATTAAAATACCATAAAGAGATAAAGTGGACCCCTATTAACTAAATAATATGTTTGCTTTAATTAGTTCATCTAAACATTTTCTGTTATTCAATAAAACATCGTTGTCTCATCACGAAAATATTTCGCATCTAATTGTCCCTCTTCCATCTGTTTAAACTTAAGCATCGGAAAATGAGTTTGCGAAAATATAAAAAATGTCAAACATAATTTCAGTTCTGTACGAAGCGAAATCACTCAGAAGCTGGCCAGGCTCAGTGGGTCAACATGTCGCATGTCGGATGTCGCATGACGCGCCACGGGGCGTATGAGCAATGAGCGTTGACAGCGAACAACGAGGAGAACGAGATGGATGGAGAAAAGGCGGATCAATGGTCGCCCATTGAAAACGCAGAGCGTTAAAAGTTGGCTGTAATTAATTGTAAACTGTTTTAATGCCTCGGCTGCTGGGGACTTTAATTAAGTTGCATTTGTGTTTTGGACACGTCCAGAGAAACGAGATTCAGCAGATACATACATACATAGATGCATATATCTTCGCTGCCATCTCCTCTGCATTTGGAGCTGGGTTGACAAATTGTTGACCATTTACATGGCATATTGTTGTGGTCGGCCTGTCGGCCAACTGACAAATCTCTATTTACATTGTTGAATACGTTATAAATTATTAACTGCTATTATTTGCGACTGCCAGTGTCTGGGGGCTAATGCCTAGAAATTTATGCCCCATGACGGGGCGAGCACAAACAAACCAACAAACCAATAAACATTTTGACCAAAACTTGTTGCACTTCCATGTTTCTCGAAACGCCATTTGTCTTGCTTAAACACATTTTCGAAATTCGACTGGCGACCGTAGGAAAATGTCAGAATTTTCCTTTGCGAATTTTTAGTTTATATAGGCCTTGTCTGCCCGAAATGATTGCAATTAAATGGTATGATTTATGTGAAAGCAGCGCTCGAAACGCCCGCACACATAACACCCGACATCTGAGGGGCCGGAAAACAAGACAGATTGGAACACCTGAAATATTCGAAAATCAAGCGGAAAAATCTAAGGCCCCCTGCTCGTAAATCTTAGCCAGAGATCTGTGCCAGTTTTCGTTTGGAAAACATCGAGAACACATGAAACATCATCATCAAAAGTTGTTTCAGCCGGCACTCTGCTCTTTTCATTAAATTATGTATGTTGTTTTTAATTTATGACCTTAACTCATTCATATTCATTTAATTTAGGTCTAGCCCTATAAAGTCCAATTTTATGTTGGCGTAGACTGTCTATTTTCGTGTTATCTTTTCGCCCGGCTTTACTCTCAGTCGGTTTAGAATATTTGTTTTATGCAACGGCCGACGGTAATTAATTGAATGGCAGAATGTGAGAAATGTTTTACTTTGACTTCATTAATTTTTACGATGGTCAAGAAAGGCAAACGGTTCTATAACCTTTGTAAGTGGTGCTGACTTGGCAAGTTTTTATATTTATTGGCCAACGTGTTTACATGTAGATAATTTATAATTAAGAAAGAATAAGGCTCAGAAATATGGTAATTCAACTAAGATCATTAGAAAAATACTAGAAACTGCAGTTAGAGTAATGATGGTTTGCCAATAATATAAAGTAATTAATGGATTACATAAGTTACAAATTATAGAGCCAAGAAAGTTATATTATTATTATAAGCATTAATTGTTCCTCATAAATAGTGGTCATTGAAAATTCTCCCAATTAAAGTGAGATTCCAAGAATATTTTGGTGGTATCTTTCAGTAGCACTAAAATCGATTTAAAAATCATTTAATTCCACATCATTTGATTGGGTCATCGCCCCACCCAATCGCCCTGAGCTGGCGCCATTTGGCAAAGAAAATTATTTGAACAGCTGCCGAGCAGAAGCCACATGAGTAGGGACACGATCATCGAACGGAGTGCGATCTGAAATGCTTTCGGGTCTAATTAATGCTATTTAAATTTATGCATTTATCTGGATCACAAGCAAAAAGGAGAAAAGAAAAAAAAACAACGAAAAAAATGCGAAACGAAGCAAAAAACATAAACATCAAGAGCAAAGTGTGTCATGCAGTAAAATAAATTTCCTCAGTTCCGCCACTGCGACTGCTGTCAGGCCATAAATAAATAAAAAACGAAACTACGCCCAAACAATTTCCAAATTAACAAAACTAAGGAAAAAAAAAACAAAGAAATATTCATGTCTGAAGAAGGGGAGAGAGGGGGTTGTGGGAAAAGGGAGGAAACATTTTAAATTGCATAAAATTAAATCAAATTCTAATGTGGCAGGGCTTGGCCTGAGTGACTTGCTCCGACGCCTACAATGAACGACAAATGAAACGAATGAACGCCGTCAAACGACTTCCTAAAACGCTCCAATGATTTTGTCTAACCCATTTATACGTGTATATATCTGCAGCTCGATCTGTATCTGTATCGGCTCAAGCTTTATAGGGAAAAAGTGGAAGGGTGCATCCACAGAGAGCTTTGCATTTGGCATCTTGCTGGGGCGTTTTTTTCTTTTTTGTATGTGCGTCTTTCTTGCCGCCAAGACAACTTAACAGATGACTGACTCTATCGGCAACGAAGATACACCTCGGCAAATAGCTGAGCGGGCTGGCACACCTTTAAGCCATTTCCGGTGTAGCCCAGTTGCTCACTGAACGCGTTGTCAATTCTAATTGGCGGAAGTCGTGCTCTCCTCAAATCCATAAATTAGATCATCGTTATCATTTTTACAAGCTAAAACCACTTACATCTGGATGTTCACGCACTGGCACATAAACCTTCTCGTTCATCGTCACCACAGAGCCCTCGGGTTCGGGCAGAGTCAGTGGCTCCTTCTTGACCCCATTGATCTGGAACAGTGAGGCGCGCACGCGTGCAATTTCTGAAATGATTACAGGGAAAGATAGCGGAGTGTAAGTACATGTATATTTACAATCAAGAATCAAAAAGACAAAAATAACAATTATAAGATTATTTTTTCCAAAAAATCTGTGGAAAACCTTTAGAAAAATTCTAGAAATTTGAAAGGGAATCTTTTATATAATACTTGATATCATTACAATTTATTTAATCTTAATTTTTAATTTGCCTGCCATAAGAATGTTTGAAAAATTGTTAAAGAATCAACAAATCATCGTTAAAAAAAAAACGGATAGAAATCGAAATAATTTAATTTTAGTAGCTACAATGGTATATAAACTTCGGCTTACTTAGCTTTTAATATACTACTTACTATTTAATTATTTTAAAACTCCTTTACAACAATTTTTATAGTTCTAATCTGATTATGTTGCAAACTGTCAAATTAATTCATTGCCTAAAATAATGGTTAATTACTAATCATATGAAATCTACTTTTACAACAGCCTTTATTTATTTCTGAGCGTAATAACACACAGATGAATGGCAAACAAACAAAGCGTTGATAATTTTAATTGCTGGCTCTTTGGCTCCACTTCAACGTAGCGCGGCTCAATTTGTCATTTTAGCTAAGTGCTTGTATTAAATTACGTTTAATTTGCCTCTGGGTGGAAAACCTACTAAATTAGCATCAATAAAACGGCGTGTAAAAGTGTTTACTCAGCTATTGACTGTTGCTATTCTAACTTATTTATTAGGTTGACCCCATGAAATCACTTGGTTTATATTTAAACAAATTATGCCATAATTTGCCTAGCATCATCGTAATGATGATCGAACCGCCCACCACCCCCAACCCTTAATTCTGAGGTCAGACAGTGCATAGTCATAACTGCCACGCCCCTTCCTTAGTGAAGCCCCCCTGCAATTCACATTTTCTGTGATTTTCAGTGGCGGGTGGGGCGTGCGTTTCAACCCCCAACTGTGTCAGTTGACAGGGGCTCTCGAATTGATATGATCAACATTTTGTGTTGCTGCTGGTGTTGTTAAGTTTTGCATAAGCTCAATTGCATTGTTTGTCTTTGGCATGTGCTTTGACAATTTGTCACTAAAAGTGGGTAATTGTGCTGGGTGTGCTGAGAGTGTTGGCCTCGGGGGCGGGAAGGGGAAAGGTGACTGCATCATATGTCACAGCAATGATTTAAGAATATGCCACTAAATGACATCAAATTAAATGCCTGACTTCTCTCACTAAATGTCAACATTTTGACATACGGTTATCTGATTTCTTCGACAGTGCGATTGCTGACATCACACGTCTTTAAAATAAACTTTTGTAACCCAAAAAATAAAGCATTATATATTTATTTCAAAAAAGACATTTCAACACCTCAAATAAAATTGGGAATATTTTGCAGTTCTCAACTTGGTGAAGATATATTCTGTTAACTACTAGACAAATTTCTAAGAATTTCTTTTTGAATATAAAAGGCCATGTATAAGGTTATTGACCTGTTGAATGTGGAATATGCACACAGAAGCACATCTTGTTTGGCATTTAATTTAATTATGTTTGATATTTTTATCTATCCAGCTACTGGCTTATTTTTCTTATTTATTTCCCCCAGCTTTCTCTGTGGCACATAAATAAAATTTCAAATAAAAAAAATCTGGGCAGTAAGAGCTAACAAAGAAGGCGAAAAGAAATTGCACAAAATTTAAATTTACTTTTTCCGAGCGGTGCGAAAAAGAAACCAGGCCCGTTCCAGAGTTCATTGCGGGACAAAGAACCCATAAAGAAAATGACAGAGAGACGAGAATGAATCGGAGGTACACCGACAGGGTCGGTCCGAAACACTTGACTCGATTATTGATAGAGATGGTATGGAGAAGAGATTTTTCCCCTCTACCATAATTAAGAGAAGCTCCAGAAAGGCTTTTCATTTGTTCAAGCATTTTCGTGTAATTTGTTGCGACACGCAAGTAGAGAATTCCATTGATGGCATCATCGTCGTTTTGGCGGTTCTGTTCTAAGCCATAAGCCATTGGCATAAACGCAATCATGACAGCTGTCAATTTTAATCGAGCGAGTGTCAATCCGCATCCACATCTTTTCAATCTGCAACGTGACCGATGTGTGGCAGTGGCACGAAGATTGTGCAGCCAGATTAGATGAATAAGCCGCGCCAAATTGGTGTAAAATTGCATTTGCATACGAGCGGACCGATGACGGAGTCACTGATTCACTTCTGGGGCCAAGTCAGATGGATTGATAGCGGCATTTAGATAAATTACAATAATCAAGACCCCCTGCCATATGCGCAGGCGGCTTAATTAATAGCAGCTTAGTCAGAGACTTAGCCTGGAGTCTATAATTAAAGCCCTGGCTCCAGCTCACCTGTTGCCAACTGACCATTTTAGGGCATACCGCGGCAGAACCGGGCATAGCATTCATATATATAGTAGAGTGGGCGGGGAGAACGAGAGCAGAGCAGTGCCAATCTAATAATTATCAATGAAAGATCTTCTTATTCATTAACAAGTCAAGTCGTTTGTGCTTTTAAGGCAATCTCCGTATCTTTTTCGCCATGCGAGTCATAATTTACATAGACCGCGCGCTTATGACTCTATCTCTTGGCCAACTCGCTGGACTCTATATATGGCTAGGGACGGAGCTACCAAATTTGGCACCCCAAGTATAGAAAAAAAAAAAAAACTGCTTTGCGTGTGTGTTCAAGTATTATTATCATTTTGTATAATTTTTGTCTACGCTCTTTTTATAGCCAGCCCCCACAAAAGCAATTATGGCGAACCTTAACTATGGAGTGTTATTAGTCAAGCAACTAAGAATAAAAATGGGTAAAGCTCAAGGCTGGGCGTGGATAAGAAGGATGGACCTGTTTAATTTCAGCATGAGATCACCATTAAATCGGTCACAAATCTAGAGATACCTCTTCGAATTCGCCCTTTTCGATTGTGGGCGAACATAACGCAGCATATTTGCCCCGCCTTGCTTGGTTGCCGCATTTTGCAACATTTGAATTTTAAATTTAGCCTCCTGCACTTGATGATGAACACGAAACACGAATGCGAAAGCGACTGAGAACGACAACAACCAGTCGAGCGTCAATAAATTGTCAAATTTTATGCACCACGATTTTTTGGCAAGGGTTCTTTATGTCCGTGGGCAAGTAGGGCATAAAATGTGTATATAGTAGCGGGAATATTAATGTGGAATCAGATTTTATACGTATGTAGAGATAGTTATGGAACGGTTTTAATAGTTAACTATTTGAGCCTGGTTTATTTTAAGGGGTTCCTTTAAATATATGTAAACTCACAGAATCCTAAGCTAAATCTCAATGCGTGACACCAACACAAAATAAACAACAAATTATCTAAATACAATTAAATAATTCTCAGTTAAATAAGCATATCACGACACCCTTGATCAGTTCTCCATTAGCGAAAACCTCGTTCGCACCGAATACACTAAGAGGATATAACTTATCGAATCCTAAACTTGTCAATCTAATAAGATATGCCAGACAGATGGCGCAGACACCTTTAAACCAAATTAAAACCGCACTCAGCTGCTCAGCAGCTTAGGGGCGCTGATTGATTGTTTTGAGCTGGGAGAACAATTTGCATTGGATCACGACTTCAGGTGGAAAATGGTAAATAAGGCAGGGGGATAATACTATATACGATATAGTATTAACTGGCTGAGTGCGACACATATCTAAGTATCTGGCGGCTAATTTATGAATGCAAAACCATTCATACCACACGAATTAGATGACTGCCAGTTGATGAGCGTGTGGGCGTTGTAGCCAAGAAAACAATGTCAACTGCGATCGTTTGGGTTTCGTCTCGGCCTCTGTTGTTATGTCCGCCGGTCTGTGTGGGCTGGTAGTCCTAACAAATTGTCACCAGAAATGGCCGGAACGCTCGAAAACGTTTTAGGTTCAGCCCGATTGTTGTGCCTTCTGTGGCTGCAATTAAGCCAGGTCCCGCATATTTGGCAAGCGCCAAATGTATTTGATTTTATGGTTTTTATTTACTTTTCGTCATGAACTCCATTGGCCTTGGGCGCATTTGCAATTTCGCATTGTACTCGTATTTAAGCAAAACGGAAAAAAAAAATTTGATTATTGTGCGTTGAAGTAAATTTATTATTCGCTTTTTGTGAATTTTTGCATATTTTGTGCATATCTTTTCGGTTTGTGGTTGCCAAAAGGCATTGGCTTCTAAATCAACAGCTGGTTTCAGATTAATATGTCGAGCAAGCGTATAAAAATGCAAAATTAAATATATTTTCTTGAAAATATGTCTGTATGTTTCTTGATTTGTTCTATTAGACATGCTAGTACACAATATTCCAAGTAAATTTTATGTTTGAAGTTCTTTGTTTTTGACAAATAATCAATTTGTTGACAAATAATCCATAAATAGTTTAATTCAATGGCAATACCGATCCTTGAACCTCGAAGTTATGGCCCGCACTGTAGTGCAAACGTTTCGCATCAAGGCAAAAATAAACATTTGTTAAAATGGCTTCTCTTTTTGTGTTTTAATATATTTTCAGCATTTTTATTAATGACTATATCCAACCCAGCGACAGCAATGACAATTTTTTATGAATTTTTATTAATAAATTTCCACCATAATAAAGCTGTCAGTGGCAACTTGGTTCACACGCTCAAAGTTCCATGGTCTCCATTATATACAATATCAATTCTGGCACGACATTAATATATCAGTTGGTTCATCTGATTTTCCTCGAGACACATAAAGTTGTGTTAACATGAATTTAATATAAATATTGCATACGCAAGCGTCATTTTTTATCAGACGGACTTTAACCCACATTTGGCGAACAGAAAACAAGAGTTGTTGAAAGTTTGTCGCGGAGGAGAAAAAAAAACATAAATAAAAATGATTCCGTTGACTCACCTACAGCAACAACCATTATAAATGAAATAAAACAAAAGAAAACACAATTAATGCTGGCGGAAAACA